GGCATTTAATGAGAGTATTCAAGGCTTCATAATTTGGTTTAATGAGTTAGGAAAGTAATGAAATAAATCCAATTTGAATTTAAAATTCAAATTGATTTAAATTAAGTACTTTCCCAAAATAGATGAACCAAATTAGGAAAGAATTTGAATAATTTCAAATTCAAATTAATCCCTAAATTAACCCAACCAAATTAGGAAATAAAAAAAAAAGGGTTTGGAGAGGAAGGTTCGGCCGGCGGCTAATGGGGTGGAGCCGGCGGCATGGGTTCGGGTATGGGGGATTAGCCGTGAGGTGGAGAGGGGATGAGGGGTTTCGGGTGGAGGTGAATCCGGTTGCCAAACGAAGATGGGGAGGAGGACGATGAATATGACTAAGGGAAACAATAAGAAGGAACAAAACAAAGATAGAAGAGATAAAAGAAACCAACGATCGAAGATAAAACGAAAGATAGGAGATAAAAACAGCGAGCCTTGGACTCTTCCGAAGACTGACGGGTAATGCTTTGCCCTTCTCTAAGGGACTTCAAGTCACGAGCCCGGACCCATTCTGCGGCTGGTGAAAACTCCGATTCCTTCCCATATGAATCTCACTAACGCTCTCTCACAAGAACACAAGTGTGGACACAATTTTTTAATATCAATTCTTCATCCCTATTACAATAGCTTAAGGCCCTGTATATAGGCCACAACATGATAAAATCAAAAATTATAAAATTGCCCCTTGGGCCACAACACTCAAATAAACTAACCTAGGGGTAAAACAGGAAATAACATAAAATAAGAGATAAAATTCATAAAATAACTCATAAATGACAATTTAAATTAGAGCCATCGATTTACGATGCCTCCTGTGATAGATGCACCAAATCTTCGTGCCGATGTCCGCATCAGCACGTCTCAATGGATTCTCTTCTATCTTCCCTTGAATGTACCATTCATTCCTTTCACCAAGGTCAATGCCATTATTTCTAAGCTTTTTGCAGCCATCACAATCTATCATCGGAAATTATTCTATTAGCATAACTAATTGAACTATAAGAAGCCAACTTACTAATGATCAAAAGAAAGTGCAACTATAACTTAATTTTCCACCACTACCAACTATTGGATGCAAAAGGTTCACTTTTTAGGCAACCCAATCCAGTCGTACCTTGCTTAAGTGCCTTCTGAAACTCATGCTAGTTAAACTTGTTTTTAACTGTTTCTATCACACATCCTTGTTGCCCATTTTCTATAATTCTTAATCAAGATTTTCCACCCCTCATTTAAATGAGTTGTATGGTAGTTTCCAAGATTAATTTACCCCGTTATAAATTTATTTTCAAGAATATTATCTTAAATTCCCTTCCACAAGTTACAAATGCCTCTTCCCTTGGATTTTGCATCAAGTAGTGATAGCTCAATAAATTATGAAAAGACATTTTATTCCATCCATTTTTTGTACATAAATACATTTCCTTTTTTAATGGAAAGGACAAAAGGTAATATTGATTTATAATAATAAGCAAGCAACTATAGATATCTCCTTGCATTTAACTGTAGTTTTCCTGTATAAAAAATCATATGCTTATATACAGAGAAAATCTATTGTTAAATACTAGCAATTGTTTGAACATAGGGGTGTCAATATTTGACATGACACCCAAAAATTCGACCTGAATCTGAACCCAAAATTTTGGGTTAGGGTCAACTCGTTTTGCAAACGAGTCGGGTTTGGGTTTCAGGATTCGACTTGTTTGAAAAAACGGGTTGGATTCGGATCAACCAGCTAACCCAAGTTGACTCGGGTCAACCCCCGCTAAACCGCACCTTGGTTCCACCTGCAAGCCCTAACCGGCCTCCTTTGACAACAACGACTCCTCTTTGATGCCATCCTCCTTCGATAGCGACGCCTCATTCGACGATAGCCTTCTGTCGGGGCTCGGAAGTCACGGCATGTAACACCCCACAATACCCTTGACTAGTACTGTCGAGTGTAACAGTTAAAACATATCATTTTCTTTCCATAAAGTTTTTGGAAACAGATAACCACTTGCATAATTATACGAAGTATCTCATAAACCTTCATGGATACATTAACTAAAGTACTTAACATTTTTAAACATCCACAACCTAGTTACAGAGCCACTAAAGAACATCCAAACAAAATATTTCAATTGAGTGTTTACATACCCTTAGCTAATCCTTACAAAGAAACCCAAAACAAGAGTAAAACTACTCAATTCTTATTCATCTCAAAATCTATCTCTATTACAAGTAAATACTCCTATTTATAGACAAATGTAACCCATAATAGGCTACACTCAAAACAAGAGAGCGCTAATTCTATGTAGCCATATACGCTACCAAAAGAAATAAAACTAGACTGAAGTTTAATCGGATAAATCAGCTCAGCTCCGGCGTCATACTACCGGGGTAGGAGGAACTTCAGTCTCATAGGAAAATGTCTGGTTGGTCACAAGAAGGAGGCGGGTTTGGTTGACTAAATCTTTCTGGATATTTTTTTCTATACAACTCAGCTGAATAAGGATGCGAACATCGATGAGGAGGAAATAAACCATAATCAAAGGAGACGAATGAGTTAATGTTAGGCTCCTTCATAGTGGTCCAATAGGAAATCTTATCACCGAATTCTTTAAAGCATACATCAGCTAGTTCTTTGAAATCTTCAATGAATTTTGAGCTCAACCATCCTCCATGCTCATCTTGAAACACCTCCAGAGATGTATCCACCTTGCTCGCGTCTTCATTATATACGGGTTGATTAAGATCAAGAACTTCTACAAATACGTCGTCGTCATACACGTCATATATTGGCTCGTCGTAGAGAGGCAAAAACGACGATTTTGGCAATGGATCTTCAAATTCTTCAAAGCTAGACTCGATTGAGGGTGGGGTAGAAGATTGACTAGGTGGTCCTTCAAACATGTCGTTGCCGACAAAAGAGAACTGATCATCTAATATACCGTCCTCGTCCTCGTCGGTTCGTAAGGATCTTTGTTCAATCTTTGACAATCTTAATTTGAGTCGGGCAATTTCTTGTAGAAGATATTCGATTTCTTCTTCTTGCAGTGGTCTTTGATGATTTCGGTGAGGTGACATTCTTGTCGAGAAAATAATCACCACTTCAATTGGAGACAAAGGAAGAGTTGTGGTAATTCACTTTGCTGCTCGCTCTCCCGATCAAGAAGCCCACGCTAGTCCCGCATTTTTTGCGATCAAGACCGGACTCCGCTTCCTGGTCCCTCGATTCAGACCCAATCGGGCTTCTGCCTTTGGCCGAGCTCCTTCGGACACCGTCCGCCTCCTCAGGTGAATCCGACACTCGTCTGTGTCTGTGGCACTTGCAGCGACCAAATGAACCTTTTCTTGAAGAAAAAAACACCAGGTCTATCTTGCCTTTGACCCACTCGGGCTTTCTCCAACGCGAATGCCTGCTGCTTTGCCTTTGCAACCTCTGCCAGATGCTTTCTTGGCTTCTTGTCACGAACCAGCAGCAGTTTGTATTTTTTTTATTTTTTTATTTTTTTGAAGAAGACAACAACACCTGCTTCCAAATTGCTCTGACTTTATCTTCACTACGATCCAAAGGAATTAAACAAACAGAACTATCTCCGGCATCTTGCCGGCTCTGATACCAGATGACACCGACCAGGTAGGGGGCTCGACGAATCCACGTCGACGATCCGGTGGCGGTCGCCGGATAACTCCAAGAACTCCTTGGAAGAGAGGGATCACCACCTGAAATCCTTCAGGATATAGAAACCCAAAACAAGAGTAAAACTACTCAATTCTTATTCATCTCAAAATCTATCTCTATTACAAGTAAAGACTCCTATTTATAGACAAATGTAACCCAGGTTGACATTTCTGACCCGTCTACAAAATTGGGTCAGGTTCGAATCGTGTCAACCAATAGCATGTCAATGTCAGATTCGACCCAACCCAACCCGCAACTCGATTTTGACACCCGTACCCATACATGCCTATGTATAAAACTCATAGGTACCAACAAATTTGAGATGGGTAGAGAAGCGCTCACCCAAAATGAGCTTTCATCTTAAGGGGCATTCACTTGAATAAGGTTTTGGATAGGCTAGCATTTGACCTAATGAAGCTCACAATATAGGATTTTGCCTCAAGGAATCCAATTGAAGATGCATATATTCGATTGATTTCAACCAGTGAGCTTGCCTCAACAAGCCTTCACTTAAAGAGGCACTTAGCCAAAGAGGGATCAACTCTCTCAACAGTTCTCCCCATTTAAAGCTAGGCACGTTCCATGGATATTCTCATCCAAACTACAAGATGCACACATACCTATGAAACCCACATTCATTGCTCTATCAGCTATGTTCATCCCCATCTTATAGTCACACTCGCCCCGAAGGCTTGTTGATAGCCCCGAGGGACTCACCACTCATTCGCTAGACTCGACTTCACAGACTTATCCAAGACACTCACCCTTGAGAACTCACATAAGGCCCTCAAGGAGTTTCCTAAGGCATTCACCCCCGAGAACTCCCCTGGGTGCTTGCTAGGGGCGTTCCGAGGCATATCAGAAGCTGATGGCCATGTGTATTCCTTCTAGTTTAGTTCATGTGTCTATGCTAGCATATACTTGTCAATTCATGTATTTTTTTTCTTTTTTCTAAATATAGTCTTTCTTGTAGTCTTCTTAATTCTATAAAAAGAGATTAAGCGACATATTTTAGAATTCATGCTATTTTCACTGTTTACAGTGATTACTCAGTCTCTCATATGCTCTCCATACTCACTGCTTTCTCTTCTCTATAACATTTTATATTCATGAATAATGCAATGCCCTTGGTTTTAATTTTTATCATTGTTATGGTATGATCTAAGAATTTTACTTTCTGAAGCATTATTCATTATTTCTTACTTTGTGGTACGTTATTATGGTTTTTATTTTATTCCTATATTAAACAAGGGACTAGCATAATGCGCTTGGATTCCTATACCATGCGTTTTTTGGACAGGTATTGAAAGTACTCAAGAAAGAAGCCCTCTGCTTGGCGCACCACTTGATTATAAGTCACTTGCCAATGCTGCTTCAAATGAGGAGCTTCATAGTATTGCTGATCTGGGTACTAGCAATTCTTTCCCTAATAACTCTGGCAGCCCAATCAAAACAGCTGTTTTTTCGCTACCTACTTCAGATTTGCATTCAGTGTGTAGACATGTATATAAAATTTTTCCTCGATGCCACATTGACACCTTTAATATGAAAGAGAATGACAACATTGTGACATCAAAAGAGATAGGAGTTACAGACTTTATACCTGATAATGTTGGAGAGTTTCTCAATTTCATGAGACCAGCTCCAATGGGATACTGGGGTATCTTTGAAAGTTCGATCAACATTGACCCCTTTTGGCCATTATGTATGTTTGAGTTCCGTGGAAAATGCAATGATGAAGAATGTCCATGGCAACATATGAAGGCTGGCATGTTTCCAAACTTTCGAGATGATGAGCATTCAAGTACCTTTTTTTATTTTGCGAAGTCTTTTGTTTCCATGCTTTATTCTGATCATCTATTTATTCTGTTGTCTTCCTGAGCAGATTGTCATGCAACTTGTTTACGAAATGGAAATTTAAATGCAACTAGATTTCCTTGTAGCGCCCTTCTTCACGTTTTGCCCATTCCAACTTATCAAATTGGTCCATATCTTATTAAAGCCGATTCTCATCAATCCCAGTCTTTGTTGGCTCGGGGCAATTGGCAGTACCAGCAAAGGGGGTTTTGTGCTTCCTTTTCTATTCCCTTTTCTGTTCAAAGAATTCTTCCTCTTGATGCTCCATGCTTACAACCTGGTGATGATCCCGTTGCAGATAATTATAATTGGAATAGGCTTTCTCTTTATTACCGGAGTCAGGATGACGATGTTTCATTCAAGGTAAGATGGTTTTTTGCATTGCATTTTGTGTTAGTGCAGGCCCGTTTATTTTTCCAAACAGCCTTTTGTTCTAACCATGTGCATGGTTTTTGGTTCAAAAGTATATACATTACAAGGATAATATGATGGCAATTGTTAGGAAAATATATTTTTTAAGCAATGCAGTGTTCTTGTAAATTAGATTCACCTGACTGGTATATCTTTACCCACCAATGAAGATATTATACCCTACACCTAACTTCGTACTTGTAGCTTGGACCTCTGTTTAAAATTGCGCAATAAGAGGTGCGCCTCTGCGCAATTTGCCCCAAATACGCATCGAGGCTTACGCAATTTTCCTCTTGGCAGAGGCGTACGCTTCACTGGGTCTGAGGCGTGCCTCTAAGGCGCAATTGCGCAATATGAGGTGAGGCGTATGCCTCATCAATCCGGTCCCACCTACTTAAAATGCAGCCTTTTTTCCCTTCCTCCCGTTCTGTTCCAGCTAAACCCGAAAAAAATATCTCCAGCAGCCTCTGTTCGCGAACGTGACCGCCTCTCGCACGCTCAGCCTCCCTTCCCGCCGGCGCCGCCTCTCTCCGGCGAACTTGAAGTGTCCGGCCGCCCTCTAGGAGAAGTCCACAATTGAAGCAACCCATGGCTGCCGACAAGGATCCTTCTGTCAGGTTGGGTCGACTACCTCCTCTGACTAAGTAGACCAGGGACCACGATGGCCCGGGACGACGGAACCATGGGATCTTGATCGGGTCTATCATCCATTCCCCCACCATCTGCTTTAAGTGCTAGGTGGTGAAATTTCTTATTTTACATATCAAACTTTCAATTCTTTCCAAATACCCAAATTCAACCCTAAATTCCCAAATATCCAATCTTTCCAATCCAAACCCATTGCTGCTACTATATGCCAGATAACACGTATTTATACGTATCTGATTGACGACTAGCCTTAATCGAAAGTTCTCTCTTGAGATCGGGAGGGGTAATTAACTATAGGGGCTTGCGCCTATAGGAAACCAGAACTCAGATCATAAAGTCCTCACAAAATGAGGCGAAATCTCTGGGTAGTGTCTTATCTACAAACCCATCTGCCTTCCAAAATTTACCTCGGAACTTAGTTCGTTAAAACTCCCTCGTCGAATAAGAAAAGCGAGTGGAGGCCGGGGCCGAATTTTCGGAGCCCACAACGCTTCCAAAAATAGAATTGTTAATTCGGAAAGGATTTGAAATTCAAATATTTTTGAATTAAAATTAGGAACTTTCCAAGTTAATAATAGATTAATTTAGGAAGGTAATAAAGAGGCTATTTTGAATTCAAAATTCAAAATTTGTGGAGGAGGGAAGGGGCTAGGGGTGAGGTGGTCGGCTGGCTATGGAGGTGGAGTGATTGATGTTTGATCCAAAAGAAAAGTTAGCCAAAATCAAACAAAATAAAACAAAAACGGATGGTGAATGGTGGAGACTAGAGATGAGAGGACGGAGAACAAAGAAAAAATAAAATAAAAACGATACAAACCATGAGCCTGGACTTTTCCTGCGACTGGTGGGTACTATGTTGCCCTCCCCGAGGGACTTCAATCCATGAGCCCAGATTCATCGTGCGTCTGGTGGAAACAAGGTTGTCCTCCCATAAGACTTTTCCTCTCTCGAACTCACACAGAGATCAAGATAAAGGCTCCAATTCTTTTTTTATTAATAATCCATCATTGCATTATACAAGCAAGGGCTTCTATATATAGGCCTAAGAAATTAAAACAATATACATATGCCCTAGGGCTTACATAGGACGACCCTCTTAAGTGAGGGTAAAAATGGAAAATTCATAATAAAAATAAAAATTACAAATAAAATTTAATAAAACGTGGGACGATGATGGCCGTCGATCTTCAGCTCCTTGGATAGGCATGGACGGTTGGATGTCCGCATCACAAGTTCAATTCAAAATGTGCAACAACCGTCCAAGGGCAATTGCACCAGTACAAGCTACCAAGTCACAATAATAATCTTTAGTGGTCTCTTAATTATGATTAGTTTGTTTCAGTTAGATCTTGAAATCAGTGGAATAAATGTATTTACTTAGCTTGAAACTCCATTATTAAGAAATGAAACTATCACCCATCAGTATTACCTTTTAATCCCAATAGTTTTGACCAACATTTATCATGTAACAGTCATGTGCTTTTCTATCTTCCTGCTTTGCTAAATATTCATTTTTACATCTACTAATTAACTATCTATGTTAATGTAAATTTGGAGATAAAATTGTATACTCTAATAGATTTATTCCTATTTAGGTTTTAATATTGGGATTTGGAGCTATTGGATTTGAACTTGCCAAGAGATTGAGACCATTTGGTGTAAAGATCATTGCAACTAAAAGAAGTTGGCATCCAAATTTGTTGCAGCAAAATTGTAAGGTTTGCATGCTCAGGCGCTAATAATTGTTAATAAAAAGTCAGTTTTAAATAGAATCTTCTTATTTGATTATCTCCAGTATCAAATGTCGAAAGTGATGGAATTGATGGCCTGGTTGACCGGATGGGTGGTCCGCAAGAAACTTATAAATTTGCTAGTGAAGCTGATATAGTTGTCACATGCTTAACTTTATATCATGAGACGGTCAGTTTCCTCTTTCTATTCTCCTTGTGTTTCCTACATTTCTATTGTTCTTTCAATTTCTGACCTAATTATCTTCATTTATGAAAATTTTAGGTTGGTATTGTGGATGAAAGGTTTCTTTCTTCTATGAGAAAGGTTGTGAGCTATCTGCCACTTGTTTTTTTTTTTTCCATAATCTATTCTTACGATAAAAAGTAGTAGGTACATTTCATCTATACATCCAGCTTTCATTGTTTGTAATTTAATTGCTCAATTTCCTTTTCTGTCAATGGTTTATGACACGTCTTGGATGTACAAATGACAAAAGCAGATAAGTAGAAACTACAGGAATATGAATATAGGGGCTGATTTTTTTATTTCTTCTTCTGCAGTAATGAAAGATCTAATTGATCTACTATTCGAGAGGTAGATGAACTCTCATACAAACCCTAATTGCCACTAGGAACTCACACCAAAAGAGAACAAATAAAACACAACATACATTCGATAAAAACCTTAGATAAAACTCCCTCTTAAATAACCCTAACACACAATAAACACAGTTAAAAGCTTTTATAAATCAGCCGTCTTTCCCAAAATATACCTTCCTAATTCCCTCCCAAATATAATTTTAAATCAATCCTCTTTTCCTAAATAAATCTTCCTAATCTGCTCCCCGTAATAAAGATAATCAAAATTTTTCCTAATCTGTTCTCCCTAATAAACATAATTAAAACCTTACTAAACAGCTTCCCAATGATTCCTCCTCCTTTAATAATGAATAATAGCTCCCTTGGGTCCCACAAGGTCCCTGCATATCAGTATTCCCCCAAAAAAAGACGCACCTTGTTTTCAAGGTGGAAGCATGGGACACTGGTCATGGCCTTCTTCAGCTGCTCGAAAGCTTGTGTCGTTGCCTCCCCCCACTTGAAACTTTCCTTCTGCTGCTCAATCTGTGGCCATGCTATTGTCCACTGGAATTATGCTAGGGCTTTTCCCTCAAGTTATAGACTTGCCGCCGTAAGCTTCTCCTCATTCAACCCATTCACCATAAAATACCTCTCCACCCGGTACACCCACCCATGGGCATCCTCCCCATCGAACACCGACATCTTCCAACTTCCTCTCTCGTCAGTGGTTACCCCCAAGTATTGATTGTTGGGAGGAATCCCACCATTCTTCTATCCACCTCCCATGACCCGATCCCTATGGCTCGGCTCATCCCTCTCCTTTTACGGTTGTCCATTCTCTTTTTCCCGAAATGCCACCCATAGTGGTTGTCCACCCTACCATCTCCACCAAAAATTTCATCCTTCGATCTGAAAATCCTGATTCGGCCCTTATCGGATTCCGAGGTGGTGGTTATTGATGAAAGAAACTTCCTTGTCAAACCCCTCGTCCGATCTCCTTTCCCTTAGATTAGGCCAAGGGAATCTCGGTCACATCTTGGTAGGGTTAGCAATTGGAACTGCCGGTGGGGTTTTGAATTGCATCTCCATGAGCTTTTTCATTATCTACTCCATCGCTCCAAATTAGTTTTCCATAGATGAAAACATTTTTTCCATGGTTGAGAATTTCTCCTTGATTATGGATTTGAATTTCTCCATCTCGCCTTCCAATGCATCTATCTTCTTTACTATTACTGTCTCCAAAAACCTTGCTTTGATACCAATTTGATGCATCTTGGATGTAAAAATAGCATAGGAGATAAGTAGAAACTATATGAATATGAATATAGGGGATAAATTTTTTATTTCTTCTTCAATAGTAATGAAAGATACAATTGATTTAATGTTCGAGAGGTAGATCAGCTCTACCACAAACCCTAGCCACTGCTAGGAACTCGCACCAAACGAGAATAAATAAATTTCAGCATACATCCAATGAAAACCCTAGACAAAACTTTCCCTTAAATAGCCCGAACACATTAGACACAATTAAAAGCTTTCCTAAATCAGCCCTCCCTCTTTTCCAAAATATATCTTTCTAATTTACTCCCAAATTCAAATTCAAATAAACTCTCTTTTCCTAAATAAACCTTCCTAGTTAGCTCCCCTAATAAGCATATTTAATACCTTCATAAATAGCTCCCCCTAATAAACATAATTAAAACCCTCCGAAATAGCTCCCATTTGATTCCTTGTCCTTACGATAATAGCTCCTCTAGGCCCCACAAGGTGACACCCCACACCCGGCGTATCACTTTATCACCTTATTATATATGTCATTGAGCTCCCTTAAATTCAAATTATAGCTATACCAAACCTTGTATTCCATTAGGATTATGGTAGTTTTGGATACTTCATGAGCTGTGGCCAAGTTACAAATGAAGTTGGTGAATTCAGCCATATTTTCAGCATATCTTGCATAGCAATCCCCAATCTATCACTCTGGTCCACATGATTTTGGTTGTTGACAATCTCACCAAATAGCTAGCAATTACATGTGTCAATTTTTTTTGCAAACAAAAAATATGTGGTACCATACAGATTATCAACATGAAATTTAAACCAGGAAACTTAGGTTGTATCCAAATTATAGGGATGAACTTAGCCTGCAAACTTTTCTAAAAGAAAAATCAATTAAATATATTATTAAGGGCCTCATCAGGACACGAGTACTTTTTAAGCGAATTTATTTTCCTCTAAATGGCCTATTAAAGGCAATGCATTATTAAATGTAAGGATATATTCTCAAACATAAAATGTACCTGTCCTCTTTGAAAGGGTTCCCTTTTGATAAATATTGCTCGTGGAGGGATTTTGGACTATAAATCAGTCTATCAGCAGCTTGAGTCTGGGCATTTAGGTGGCTTAGCTATTGATGTTGCTTGGAGTGAGCCATTTGATCCTGAGGATCCGATTCTAAAGTTTCCAAATGTCTTGATCACACCACATTTGGCTGGGGTAACGGAGTTCTCCTATAGAACAATGGCAAAGGTATCTATTGTTCTTGTTTGTATTTTAACTGTTTTAGATTAATTTCTTGTTCATATTGTAACTGATTTAGACATACTTCATTCTGGTTGTTATTTGGTTCATTTTTCATTATTATTGTTTTTTGTTAAAGCTTACATATGATAGAAATGGAATACATTAGATTTCTTAAAATGCTGGGATCTGCAATAAGGTGTAGACAACAAATTTGATGACTAAATTCTTCTGTGTTGCTTTCTTGATTAGCTCCATCGATCTCTTCTAAATGTTCATGAAACTCAGGAGGATCCAATATTGAAGGATACATAAAACCAAGCCCTAATCATCAGGATCAAGTTTATAATTGTGATAATGATGATCATGATCTGTTCATATGGATCCATATGCTATAACTAGACTTAATTTTATATAGATCTTTTTTTTAAAAATTTTATATAGATCTAATAATATAATACTAACTAGACTTTTTCTGTTGATCTTTTCACTTTCAAAAACTTGAATTCTAACTGCCAGCTTTGTTGATGCAAGACTAAAAATGTTTTAATTGCATGCATTGAAAAATTGCACGATCTCTTGAGTAAATTAATTAGGATTAAAGCTTTTAGCAACCCAAAACGACAAAAGAAAACAAGAGAGGGGTGCCTACGTTTAGGCTAAGCGCTTGCCAAATGCTTGATTTATCAAAATAAGTAGAATATCAATAATATGCTAATTAAGTAGCTTTCAAACAAAATCCCTATGCTAACAATGAGATTAGAAGCATAGAAACCAAACTCAAGTCCTACGATTACTAGGCTTGGCAGAAACAAGTGAACAAGATTTTCATGAATCAGTCAAATCACATGAACAAGTTAGACAATGAAAATACAAGAGAAGGAAGATCGATAAACATTTATCACGGTGGCGTTGCAATCCTACACTGAATGGTGCCAAGTTGCTCTTCTATAGCTTCTACAAGAGTATTTAGGATGCGATCCAAATATTCCTTGATGGTGTTGTCGATATTCGGATTGACGTCGAAGAATGTTGAATGAAGAATGTGCACGAATCCTTGCTCGTTGTAGGCAAGGCTATAGTCAAGGTCAGGATTGGCCATGCATCGATCTCGTTGTGTCGAAGCGTTGAAGGAAGTGCCCCTTTGCTATCCTTGTCATTTCTCCTTTGAAAGAGAGATTTCTCTCAAGAATTCAAGAAGGAGAAGGCAAGAGAGGTTGGCCGGCCAAGGGGAGAGATTTGGGGAGGTTTTGTTCAGATTTTGTGAATCAGGTTTAAAGTTTGGAAGGGGGGAAATTGGGAGGGAAGGCTGAAATCACTTTCCCAATCAAGGTCCTTTGATTTGGAAAGAATTTGTATAGCCTAAGGGTGAGGAGAGGGGAGGCGGGTAAGGTAGAGAGGCTAGGTAATTTAATTCCTAAAGAGGGGACGTGAGTTTGGAAAGAAATAAGGAGGTGGGGACCATGTAGAGGCCGGCGACATCCAAAGAAGGAATGGGTTTTGAGGGAAAGCAATTACTCTTCCTTGATTTGGAAAATCAAATTAGGAAGGAGGGATCTTCAATCCAATTCAATTCAAAATTCAAATAGGATTAATTTTGGGAACTTTCCTAAAATAAAAGATCATATTTTAGGAAACCAATTCACAATTCAAACGGAATTAAATTATGAATTGATTGTATTACCTAAAATACAAACCCTAATTAGGAAAGCTTGCTTCCAAGGTTTGTTGGAGGAATTTCAAAGGGAGGGATTGGTTGTTGGGGCCTTGGCCGTGGATGGTGGGGATCGGGTGGAGGTTGGGAGGATGGGGTTGGGTGTTAGCCAATGGGGAGGGTGGGGGTAAGGGTGGCCAATGGTGGTGGCTTTGTGGAGGGGCCGCCGGTTGTGGATGAGATAGGCCGTGGGGATAGAGGGGAAGGGAGGAGGGAGGAAGAAAGAGCTATGAAACTAATCACGAATCCGGACTCTTCCAAGATTGGTGGGTGATCCAATTCCCTCACCTAGGGATTTTTCTCCAATCTCTCTCAAGCTCTAATAAGAACTCAAAACAAAGGGAAAATTTTTATTATTCATTCATTACATGAAAAGAGAACAATGTGGCTATATTTAGCCTCGTACAAAAGACTCAAGAAAATAAAAAAACTGTGACGCCCACTGGGCTTTCATACGACCTCCCTTAAGGGGTAAAAACGAAAACACTAATAAAGCAAACACAACATGACATAATAATAAAGAAAATAAATAATACACCTCAGAAATACATCGACTCAATCGTGGCCGTAGATTGACGGCCACGTCTCTGATTGACCTTTCACGCTCTGATGTCTCCATCATTTGTGCTTTAGTTCATACGCAACATAGTATTGAATGGATTAGGAATATGGAGGAGCTGCATAACAAAGATGGATATTATACTAGATTTCTTTTTTTTTAGGGGGGGGGGGGGGGTAAAAGTTTGGTGTTGCCTCAAAAATTTGATGTAGGAAGTATTTGACCCTGCATACTCATGATCATCTTTCCAGGTGTTTTGACAGGAATATATCCCTCAACGAACTCGCTCGAGTCCAACAGAGTAACTCGTCGAAGGAGAATGGCAAGCGTCACTTGCTCACACTCGCGAAGGAGTGTGCCCTACACTCCGCGGCCAGAAAGCTCCTCATCTGACAAGCAGATTGCCACTCATCTCATTCATATCCTTCCCTCGAGGTCACTTAACTTAGACAACAGGAAAGTGCTTAACCCAAACGACCTTACGTGTGATGCTCTAGAATTTAAATTAGAAGAATTGTTCTTTTATCTTTTAATAAATAACAACCACAACCATCTAATATCATTTATCAGTAATAAATAGTAGAAACAAATTCTATAATTCAGAATATCAATATGCACATCTATATTCTTTTATCAAAAATCATATACACTACTTAGGATCTATAGAATCATACTATCATTACTCTATCTCGAGTACAAAAGAATAACTAAAATAAAAACAAACAGAACATGAGGAATCATGATTTGATCAATCTCACTCACCTGATCCTCTATCCTGACTTGAAAATATTTAATAACATATAATGAGCTAAAAAATCTTGCTGGTCACCAAAACCTACAAATGTATTCAACATAAGGTAAACGAGTAATATGCATGTCAATCATAATAGTTGCATTCAAATGATTATTGAATCAATGAAGAAATAATAAAACTGTAAAGTACGAAAGATAATAAATCGTTAGGAATCTCATATTAATATTACAATCAATATAGAAATCGTATAAAATGATAATATTAAATCATTGATGTAGACTATCGAATGCAAATCAATATAGTAAAATAATATAGGAGCGTACACATGCTATCAAGTTATTTCAATATCAGTATTAAATCAGTATCTTAATCACATACTCAATATATAATGTATATCACGTGCTTAATTTTTATATCATGCTTTTTGTATCAAAAAATAAATAACAATGTTAATAATAAATATGTACAGTAATATGAACAATGCATTTCTCTCTCTTCTCAAATTTCCCTCTCATTTCCTAAGTTGCTCTTTGTTTAACCAAAATGAAGAAATCAAATGATTTAATTATTTAATAAACTAATTGCTAAAGATTTTTTGAATATAATAATAATAATATATTAATATACTTATATAATTAATCAAATTTTCAGTATACAAATGCATATAATATCTCTTGTGGTTTCAAAATTTATAAAAAATATCTATAAAATAATGCATTTTATTCAAAAAATTTTGGTGAAATCGGTTTGCAAAATGTACGCTTACCAGTTTCAAAATCTCCACTTGTTCCGACATGTGTCAATTTCTTAAAGATCTTCACTAGTCCAAAAAATTTATGAAAATTTGTGTGTAATTAAAATACTATAATATCTATCTTATAGCGAAGACGATTTTCAATTTTGACTTATAATAACTCCTGAAAAAATTTATTTATCTGGGTAATTACATTACGCTCTACTCTGCTATTATTTTTAGACTCAAAGAGTTTTCATCCCCACAAATACATTTTCTTGCCTTTCATGACAAGGCAACCTCAAGCCTACTAAGATATTCACCGATCCGCTAAGATGATTCATTAGCTACGGGTCCATCTGCACTTGGATTCGCTCATAGACTCACCCTACTTCGACTTGCCCTTGTTGAGCTTGCCCGAAAATAGATAGCTTGCCCGAAATAGATAGCTTGTCTGATCGTCGATGTCACCCTTCTATATGAAATCAAGAGGCAATATATACCTTAGATTAGCGTGTAGCATTGCATAGGTATTTTGTGTGCATGTATTTTAATTTTTCTCTGTATGGTCTTTCTTGTTGCCCTCAAAATCCTATAATTATGGTGTGATAGGGAATAGTTTGGGATTCTTTGGATCTTAGACCCTTAGACCTTTTGGCCTTTTCTGAATCTCTTGTATTCTACTTCTTGTAATTTTTTGATTGAGATAGTGGAGATTCTTCCCGCTTACTCCCTATTTGTTCTTTCTACTCTCTATACTCTCCATTCTCTCTGATAGGTTCTCATCTCGCAAAGTAGATTTTTTTTAGTAAAGTTGGGTATCTTCCATCGAATAAATTTGGATTCAATATCCTCTTAGATGCAGCGATCGTGGATCAATGACAATGCCGAAAAAAAAATACAGACATAATTTGATGAATGACCCTCAGTAGTAACGCTCTGTATACATGGAGAATGTTGAATACGCCAATCTCCATGACTTGTAGGAAATAGAAGAGCAAATAACGAAGACAATTTGGGTTGCCCTATGAAACTTCCTAGCCCCCCCTCCCCCCTCCCCTCTCTCCTCTAGAGTGGACCATAACCAGATAGTTTGGTGTTTACTACAAGCACTTTGGTGGCCTCACATTGGAAAGAAACATCAGGTTTTTATTTCTTTCTTCATGAAATGTAATGACGTATGGACAATCATAGTTTGTATTGTGCTTCCCCTATTTTGTTTTATTTTGCTGAGAGGTCTCTTATTAAAGGCTCTATACTAGATTGTGCTCATTGTATACATTTTTCTTTTATTTTAAAGTAATGCAAATGCACTTTTAAAAAATTAAGCAGTTTCCTAGGGTGAGCACGAGTTGATAGTATGCCCGAAGGATCCTCTGATTCAAGAACTCGCCAAAAATGTTCGGAGAGAGCACTCGCCTATGCCTATTCCTGACTTCACTCATATGTGGTCGAGTGATAAAGACTATAACCCATCATCTGGGCAAGTTATGAGGAGATAACTAAAATTGATCAATACCTTCTCTAAGGCACTTATTGAGGCCAAGCCCATGGCACCCATTGAGGCCAGGCCTAGGGCACCACCTAAGTTCAAGGTGCCTCATCTAGAGTCATACCAAGGCAAAATTGATCCCATAGATTATGTGGCGACCATTGAGTCTATGACCTCCTTGCTGGAAATAGCGACGCCATTAAGTATTGTCTCTTCTTCATGACACTAAAGTAGTCGACACTGTTGTTCTGATAGGTAACGATTTTGACATTACGAGGGTATTCCCTCTCAGGAACAGATACTTGAACAGACTTGCCCAGGACCAGTAAAGGAATATGTTAAGTAAAACATCACTTGCCCACATCCTCCAAAGAGCTTGTCTTATGCTGGGCGATTAGGAAGTTGCTCATTCAACAAACAGATTGCCACTTGTCTTAATCAGATCCTTTCTTCGTGCTCGCTAGACTCAACTGCAGGAAAGTGATTACCTTTGAAGACCTCACACTCCATTAAGCTATTACTTTTAGGCTTAGAGTCCCTTCATTCCCACAAACACTTCTATTTTGCTTTCATGATAAGGCAACCTCAAGCCTCCTATGATAGTCGTCGACCCAACAAGACGATTTGCAAATTATGGGTTCATCTCCTCTCAAATTTTCCCAATGTGGAGATTGTACTTTTTATCAGAAGGCAACACTTATCCTAGATAGCGTGTAGCTTTGTACATATATTTTGTGCAGCTTGTACTTTTTATTTTTCTTTATTTAGCTTTTTTGTAGGCCTCAAATCCTATAAATAATGGGTGATGAGAAACTGTTTGAGTTACTTTGAATCTTTGAACCCTTAGATCTTTGAACTAATTTGGATTTATTGTGTTCTACTTATATTTTCTGATTAAGATAATCGAGATTTCGTCAGCTTTCTCCCTTCCTATCTACTCTTTCTACTCTCAATATGCTCTCCATTCTCACTAATAGGTTCTCAGCTCACCAAGAGGATTTGCTAGTAAGGTCGACCATCATCCATCAAACAAGTTTGAATTCAACATCCTCTTAGGTGCGGTCAATTTGGATCAAAGCCAAGGACCAAAAATAAACTTAGTTTGACAAGAGACCTTAGTACTAACCTTCTATGAGCATGGACAATGTTGAATAAACCACTCACCCTGACCTATAGGAAATGGAAGAGCGAATAATGAGGACAATCTAGAATGCCCTAAACAACTTTCCAAGGAGAGCACAAGCTGAAAATACACCTAAAAGAACCTGTGTTTACTTTAATTATATTTGATGTTAATTGGAATACATTACATGCTTCCTATAATTAAATATGGAGTTTGATATGTTAATGTGTTAGGAGACTCTACATAAGTTTCTTTTTACTCACTCGATTTTAAATGTAGTGGCTCGTAATGGGTGTTAGTAAGAAGGACTTGGTTTCGATTTTCCTTCTTTGTTGTACTATAGGTTGACCGTTAGAGGGCGTGGGCCAAACTGGGGTGTGGCACAAATCGCCACTCATCTCAATTGGATCCTTCGCTCGAGTTCGCTAGACTAAGCTACAAAAATGCACTTACCCCAAAAGACCTCACACTCCACTCGGCTATTACTATGAGGCTCAGAGACCCTACATTCCCTTAAACACTTTTGGGTAGAAAAAGATGATAAGGATTATAGGGGAGAAAAACAATTTAGATTCAATGAAAAGGAACTTGATTGAGGTAAAGTTTGTAAGATTTTATATTACATATTTTATTTGAATTGTTTATCTGAATGCAATTATTGAAATGAAAAAAATTATGTTTTAGGTTGTATATCAAAGTAAAAGAAATCATAATATTTTAGGTGAACTAGTTTATTGTCTGTTCTGGAAAACAAGGTGAGATACCCAAACTATGTTATAGGAATTAATAAATGCCTTATTTTATTGCAATTCATATCTACTGTGTTTATGATAGTATTTATTTCAGTTTTCTTCTTTTACTCTTATATGAACACGTATGAATATGTTTATGAATAACATATATCATAAGGGTTAAAATGGATGTTAAAAAGGATTGCTATTGAAAAGTGAAATAAGTCATATATGGGGGATAGACCCGCACAAGTAATGATGAAAGACCTGATGAGGTAAGCCTACACTTTCAATTTTAAAAGTGTGAATTTGGACCTAATCTTGAATGAGAGAACAATTTCAATTCTAAAAGTTGTGAATCTTGACCCAACATTGAATTGAAATAGTGCAAAAGCCTTTAGCCATCATATGACTTGTCTAAATATATTGCATTGCTTATGATCAGCATAGAATTATCATGTTTTCTCCATAATTGTTCACCATGTTATTACTAAGTTTTATATATATATATATATATATATATTATTTGTGTATTTCATTGAGCCTAGCTTATTAGCAGTGATTATATTGTAGGTAAGGGAAGGAACCCGTAGGGTACTAGGCGGGAAAAAAAATGTGACTGTTCTTTTTGGTGTAAATATATTTTGGGTGTACGAAGAGATCTAAAAAGGGATCTGAATGATAAATGTACAGACTTTTGGGCTTGTAAGAAAATTTTAAAAGTATTAGTAGAGCTCTGTATTTACTTTAATTATATTTGATGTTAATTGGTATTCATTATATGCTTCCTATAATTAAGTATGGAGTTTGATATGCTGATATGTTAGGAGAGTCTACATAAGTATCTTTTTACTCACTTGATTTTGAAAGTAGTGGCTTGGAATAGGTGTTAGTAAGAAGGAGCTGGTTTAGATTTTCCTTCTCTGTTATACTCTAAATTGACCTTTAGAGGGTGGGCCAAACTGGGGTGTGACACACATCGCCACTCATCTCAATTAGATCCTTCCCTCGAGCTCCGCTAGACTAAGCTACAAAAATGCACTTACCCCAAAAGACCTCACTCTCCACTCAGCTATTATTGTCAGGCTCAGAGACCCTACATTCCCTTAAACACTTTTGCTCACCTTTCATGAAAAAGGCAATCTCGAGCCTCCTATGATAAGGAACAGTGTGGTATCCATTGAATCTTTGAGCCTTAAGACCTTTAGACCTTTTATGGATCTCTTGTGCTCTACTTCTATTTTCTGATTACTCGCTTACTCTTCTTCTCTCTATTCTCTCTTCTCTTTGTATACTCTCCATTCTCCCTGATAGGTTCTCAAGCTTATCCGAAAAATTGATATTCTAAAAAGATATTTAGCTAACTCCAAATAAATTCAACCACAATTAAATTGATACCAAATCAACCGTTCAGAGAGGTATGGTCTTAAAGTGCATCTAATTCAAAAATTGAAAAGTCTCAATCATTGATTGCACATGATTAAGGGGATATACAATACATGCCTATTTCAAGAAGTACATGGTAAGAATTACTGATGATTCTTTATCTACAGTAATAAGAATTAGGACAATCAATATTAGTAAGTATATGGTTCTATATTCAATCCTATTTGTGCTTGAATTTTCTTATAATACTTTATCTATAAAAAAATTATCAGATATATGAATTGTGTTCCTATAGTTATTCATCATGAATTTCAAGATGCGATCATGAGTATTATTGGAATGATTGGCCACGATAAGAAATATGTCCTTGTAGTCGGATGCAGTTATAAAATTTTTCTTGATTACAGTAGAAGTTTATAGTATCATGTGTTTGTCCAGATTTTTTTTTCTTAAGCATCAATGTTTTTAGCTGTCTGTTTTGCATTTTTTTTACCATCTTCCATCTGCGGCAGGTCGTTGGTGATACTGCTATTCAACTCCATGAGGGGAACCCAGTTAAAGGATTAGAGTTTGTAAACTAGCTAAACTTTTACTCTTAATAGAACACTTGTTTTAATTTCTCAAAATTTTTCAGATGATGTCTGTGATAACTGCTCAGAAGAATGTAATAAGGATTGCTCTCTTTCAATTGTTGCCAACAAAGCTACTGCTGCCACTTTCTGCTATATGATGCCTTGTTAATGATTTGAACTCAATCCCAAAGACACTTGATATTAGTCGGTTTATCTTTTTCCAATTTTTCAAATACAAACTTATATAATATTCGGCGTACCATGCCTGTGAGTAAATATTTTATATACAAGAATTTTTACATGAAAAAAAAGAGAGTAAATATTTTATATAAATATTTGTGAGATCGGAATGGTACATTGGGTTTGTTGGTTGTGTTTTCTAGATTAGATTTTGGAAACGTTGTTAGCATTGAGAGAAAAGAAAAATGGGTATTCAACATTATGATTTTGTTGTCTTGTGTTGGATTGCTGTACAATTAAAAAAAAGATGCCTTAAAAAAGACTTGTTGGATTTGGATACCATGTTATTGTGGTTCTTCATGCTGTTGTAATTTATATGGGACATCTCGTGGGGATTCCATGCGAGTTATCGTTTATTTTTAAGATAATCAGACATTGTATTAAACGATATTGTATTGTATCCATGACATGCCATAAGAAGCCGTGGGTTAAAATTGAATTCCAAGTTATAATTCTGCGTTTTATGAAGAGGTGTCTTCTGTAATGTCTAGGAATGAATTTTACTTTGGTGTTTGTTATGTTGGCCATAGCAAGTGGATTTAAAAATAAGAACTTTTTTCAAAAATCGATTAAAAGTACTACTATAAAAACCGTTGATTACATTACAAAGAAAAAAGAGGCTTATAGGCCGGCCTTGAAGATTAGATTTTGGGTGGACTTCTCATCAGTTAGCGGACATGGGGTGAGTAAATTAGGCTTTTAAAGTGCAATAGCTCGACTTAAATGCACTTGAGGTTGATGGCATGGGAACCATACAAGATGGGTCTTTTGGTTGCCTCGTATTGGTGCCATCGAGGTCTCAAATAATAGATTTGGCTTGTACATAATAGAAATGCCAAAGATATGACTTATAATAATTGGAAATGCCAAAGGCATGAAGAACAGACTTCTAACTTTGGGTGTCTAGAAAGTATAAATGAGAAGATTGCTTCAACGTGCTCTATTTGTTGTACGCCAACCTTTTGCAATGGTTAGGGTTTACGCCTTGAGAAGGCTCATTAATAAGACTTACAATCTTTAGGATAAACGATGCCCAATTAAAAGATTTGACTATTAAAGTGGAGTAGCCTAATAAAGTTGGGACTTACAACTCGATAGAAATGCTATCTAGGATATTGTGGTTGGTGAATTTTTATTATCAATGACCTTGAAGATCTTATACAAATATATTGTCAATTTTTTTTGTAAATCTTAAAGTTGGGTTACTAGGGCAAAGGATATATCATACTACTTATGCATCAGACCACTTGAACCCTTGACGACCTCCTTTGGTGATTGAGAATAGCTGTCAATTTATCAGGTGATGACTTCCTCTTGCTTCTTCACCAAGTACTGATCCGCCAGGTTCAATTTTTATGTTAATTGAAAAGAGTGTCATCACAATTTAGTTTTTTTTTTTTTTTGAAATATCGTATCAAACAATTTTAATGTCTGACATCCTTGTTTTACGTCTAATGATAGTATGGTTCTAGTGGCCTAAATGGATATAAGATCCGATCATCTAGGAATACTAGGGTTTACTTACAGGGAGCTAGTGGTTGATTAAGGGTGTGTCAAACCTATGGGCTCTCAAGGTGATAAGGTAAGGAGAGGGGCCACTATGTTTTTAGCTCAATGATGACCAAAAATAAGACAAAATACAAAAGAAAACATAAGGTGAAGAAAGTTCACAGATTATATCTTGTTCGGTTGTGGCCATAAGGTGTCAACATTCAATAGAGCCCCATTGTACTAAGTTGTGGCTAGTATACTAAGATGAAGATCATTAATGGTTGTGGAAGGATGTAGTTATAAAAGGAATTTCTTCACTACCTCTTTGGACTTTGCAGGAAGTTAACCCATTATTTTTGCTAATCTAGGATCATTCAAGATGAAGGGCATAAATAATGGAGGAGAGTGTAGTCCTATGTTGATGTGGTAAATACCACCATGTGTCAAGGGGGATAGGATGTGTCGTGCTATCAATATATGGGCATATGAAAGTTCTTTAGGATGGTGAACATCAATTATGCATGAAAAAGAAGATTTTTGTGAGATTTGCCTATTTCATATAGGGATGGTGTGAGACATTGAGATGTCGGAACACCATCGAATTGAAGTCAGTCATGAAATGGTAATGACTAGAAGCATCTCTAGGAGATTACTAGTTGAGATGTCAGTTAAGCCATATTCCTCGGTAGAGAATAAGGGATGAGGTAGAGCTTTCAGCTAAGTGACATAGGGAGGTTTGCAAGACAACATTTAGGCTGTTAGCTAGTACATTAGTAAGAATCAATGATAAGGAAAAATGCTAGAACTTGTGACCATCATGCTAGAGGCTTTGGTCGAGTTGATGAGTAGACATTAATTAAGAAGATAAAGATTGACCATGGATCAAGTACAAAAAAATAGGTTAAAATAAAAAAAAATATTACACAATTTTTAGTAGTGAGATTGATATTCAACAAGTAAAATGAAGTTAATAAATTAGAATTAAAAAATTAATTTGAAATTCTAATAATTTTTATACGGTTCTGCTTGGCAAGCCTACGTCCATGCTTAGGTGTAACAAATCACATATGATTGTTACAATTTATATAAAAAATTGTATCACATTAGAGAAGTCTTGTACAATATCTTCCTTTAAAGATGAATCATAACCTTCATCTTAGTTTGGGCAATGGTGGCACTTTTAAGCTTTTGTAGAAACTTAATTGAAAATTCATGAATAATGTTAAAAATAAAAAAAAATAAAATAATCATAAGTGTGAATCTTTTGATGTGTCAAGGATATGATGAGCATGTAGAATTAGGGATCAAAGATAAATCACAATATTTAACAAGTTCATTCCTCTAAAATTCTTTGGAGAGCTGAGAATACGTTGTGAAGATAGGGGATAAGGGATTTTTGGTAGCTAGAGATTTTCAAAAACACTTTGAAATCATATAAAGGTTAGCCTTTAACCTATATAATCTCTCTCACACTCCCCTATATTAAAAGCATTAATAGTCGTTGTGAGTTTTGAGCAATTAATGAAGTTAATAGGACTATAGTAGATTTTGTTTTAGCTCATCATTTAGTAATAGTTATTACTTTATTAAGAAAAGGGAGGAGTATTTCATCACTTATAAGAACGATATAGTAAAAAATAAATTTGTTATTTTCTTATAATAAAAATAGATTGTTTATATTGCAAAGATTATAAAATCATTTCAAATGAATATTTATGTAACAAAAATCGTTATTAGTTTAGGACATTAAGATGAAGGCTTGAAAATTAAAATGTAAAGTCAAAGATTATCTTAGAATTAGATGAAGATATTTAAAGAATATTAAAAAAAATATTTTGTGAGTAAGATTCAAATCCTTAAGATTTGGCTTTTACTTGAGGAAGCTAATGTTATGTGTGAAAAAATAGCTATTGATATTAAAAATACTATAAAGTATGTGCTTGGCTAATCAAAAGAAAAAACTCCTAATGATAAAAATAATTTGTGGGGTAATCAAAATGTACAAAAAAATAAAAAACTTTATATTAAAAATTAATTTAAATGTTAAAGCTTGAAAAATTGAAACAATATAAAAGGGCTTGTAGGGATCATAAGAAAGTAATATATGATGTAAAAAATTTTAGCTTTTAGTGATTGTGTATGTGTGTGTATGTGTATAAGTTATATAAGCAAAGAGAAAAGATAAGTACATATTTAGTTAAAAAAAGTGTATTAAGGATGAAGATCAAAAATTGTTATTCTTAGAAGAGGATATTCAATATAGGTAGGTAAGATATTTTGATAAACTTTTTAATGAAGGTTGTGAAAGTACAATTATCTTTAGTGTCCTTATTATCCAAATTGAAAATAAAGATTTTTATTTTTATTGTCGCATTAATAAATTGAAGTTGGTGGCTTAAAAAATGAAGTATGAAGAAGTAGTAGGACTTAATGATGTTCTGATAGAAGTGTAGAATTGTTTAGGATATCAAGAAATTTGTTGGCTTACTAAACTTTTTTATTATAATTTTGAAGAATTAAATGATTTTAGATGAGTAGAGAGAATATATTGGTTCTTATTTTTAAGAATAAAGATGATGCTAGAGTATGTGAATTGTAAAATAGTTAAGTTAATGTGTCATGCATTAAAATTATGAGAGAGAGAGAGAGAGAGAGAGAGAGTAATTGAACATAGATTATAGCATGATACTCATCGAGATGTTTCTCTTGACATAGTCCTTGGAGAAAGGGAAGAGTTATTCTCTTTCTTTGGGTGCTCTTAGAGAGAAGCTCTAGAGGGAGTCTTTGGGTGGAAGACTTTGAGTAACCGAGAAGGCTAAGGAAGCAACATCTTTACTATTAGAAAGAGCAGAAGGATGGTGAAGACATCTCTGTCGTGATGGGAAATAGATGGAGGGAATCTATCTTTTCAAGGAAGGAAGATCTTATAAAGGTCATACTCAAGAAGGGCTTTTCTATTATGCTAAGTATAATATGACTCAACTAATTGTATTATATGGTACATATCTTATAGTCTGAATAAAAAAAAAAAAACACAATTTACAGGTATTTTCCTAAATTGAACTAACCAAACAGTTTGAACCACAATTTGTACTATATGATTAGAGTATTCAAAAATAAAAATTTAGGGTTTACTTTAAATAGTTAATTTTGATTCTATTAATATAAGAGTGTGTGAGGCAAGGTATTTGTTCAAGAAAATTGTCAGCAAATTCAATACTCCTATCAATGGGAGTGATGATATCATTTTTAATGAAATGTCCTAAAAATCTTATTTATGTTTGAAATAATTTAATTTTTGGCTCAGAAATAACTAAGGCATTTTAATGAGATATCCACTTAAAGTTTTTTAGGTGTTTGAAGTGTTCGTCAATATTTTTTGAAAATATTAAAACATCATACATATATACAATTATATATTGGTTATACTTATTAAAAATTTCATTCATTATCTTCTGAAATTCAGGCGGTGCATTTTTAAA